CTGGTCATCGCTTACCTATTGATTGTTCACCTGTTGATATGTTTAATTTATTCGCCCTGGTCATCGCTTACCTATTGATTGTTCACCTGGTGATTAGTTCACTAGCTCTGGTTTTCATCTACCAATTGAGATCTCAGCCATGAAGCTATAGTTTACTTATTACTAAATATGTTGATTGTTGATTAGCTCTGGTCCTCACCCACGCGTGTCTTTGTTACACACAGCATCGACAAGCACAACCGCAACGCTGCCCACCACCACTACTACGACAACAGCTCCGACTACTACGATGGCTACAGCGAACACCACAGCAGACGTTCGAGCCCCGGCCGCCGGCCGCCATTGGCAGCGACGGCGCATAACAGCAGCAGTCACCATGGCAACCGTTACTACAATGATCGCGACGAGGACGCCAGTACAGTGTGGGAGTACCAGCCGTACCACGGCAGCGCGGAGCCTGAATATGCAGAGTTGAACCGACCGCCACCCTACAACAGCTCCGCTAACAACTTCAACAGTGTGAGTGTGAGAGTGGGGTATGGGGTGAGTGTGGGGGTGGGGCACGGGGTGAGTGTGGGACCATGAGTGTTGACTAGCCTTAATTCTCATCATTTTACAGTCAAGCTGAGGCATTAGAATGCACTTACACAGGGGCACGTAATATCGCTGTGCTGGTGTTTCGTTTTCAAGCCAAAGTAATGAGTAATGAGCTGCAAGAGAGACTAAGTGATGCCTGTGAGGTCAATGTGAGTAGCGACATGGAGAGAAGGTGCAGAGAAGAAGAAGAAGAAGTGCTTCAGGTGCTCAACGGTGCCCTGCCACGAGAGACGTTTCCTAGCTAATACGATATGTCATATCTATCTATTTTATACGTAAAGTTATATATACGTTATATAAAAGTTATATAAAGTTAAAAATATACGTGATGTATATATGAGTGTAAAGTTTTGTAAAAAAAAATATTTAGTCAAATCGTGATTTCTTATCAAAGTTTTTTTTGCACCAATTCGAGTGTGTCATACAGTGAGAAAATCAACATGGTGCTTACACTGTCCTGTTTAGGTAATTGCTATCACTGAAATGACAATAATAAGTATAAATTTGTGCATTTAAAAAAAGTTTGAAACGTGGTCATTACATTTGAAAATTTGAAATTGACATTAAGTGAAAAAAAGTGAATTGAATTAAAGAGCTGTGTTCGATAAAGTACTTTTCTGCTATCCACCATTGTCTGAATTTAATGTTCAGCTACATGCTATGATTTTTCTGGCCAGAATATTTTTATAAATGCAATTCTTGTTTAATTAAAGGCATAATAGGTCATTGATTATGCAATTTTAACGAATACTAGAGTAACTGGCACCTTGTGAAGTTAATAAGTACATTACCTTATAGCCAAACCCGTATTAGTTTGTCCAATATCACTGCTAGTTACCAAGAAATGTCGAATTGAAATCCGTAAATCTGGTAATCTGGCGCCAACGCTAAATTGCTTGCCAAGCAATATAGCCTCGATTTCGGTTCGGTGACGTTACATGTTGCTACGGGTGTTGAGCAGAGAATTGTTTGTCCTGGGATGCTTATAACAACTAATGAGCTAGTAGAATGTATCTATGGGAGTGGGTGTATTCTCGGTATTGAGGCACAAGTAAATAACCGTGGGTACTAATGAACGGGTAGCTAGCTAGCTAGGCTACCCACATGTCTTCAATTTCGAACACAGGTGTATTCGTTTGACCAATATACGTATGCGCGTAGTGCCGCGTCTGCTTTCCATGTTTAGCCTGTGGCCGTGGTTAGTCCGCGATCCCCCCATAGTGTTGGCCCCAAACCTTTTGAAAGTATGGCCAACCGATTTTTGGACTGCGGATTTCAATTCGACATTTCTTAGTAACTATAGCAGTGATATTGGACAAACTAATACGCGTTTGGCTATACGGTAATGTACTTATTAACTACACAAGAGGCCAGTTACTCTAGTATTCGTTAAAATTGCATAATCAATGGACCTATTATGCCTTTAAATGTTGTTTCGGATGATATATCATGTCAGTGTTCTTTTTTAACGGTCCAGTAATCATGAAATCACTGCTTTTTACTGGACTACGTACACACGTCAAATTTTCAAATGTATATGAAACCCATTCATGTAGTTGTTTTGCAGTGGTGCGTTTGTGTGTTTATGTGTGCGTGCGTGCGTGCGTGTATGTGTGTGTGCGTGCGTGTTTTTGTGTGTGTGTGTATGTGTGCGTGTGCGTGTGTGTGCGTGCGTGCGTGCGTGCGTGCGTGTCTTTGATTGCATGTCTATTTTTCTACTCTACTTTTCTCTGAATCTCAGCACGTAGTCTGTATTAAAACAATGAACGGTGCAAATTGTGAATGATACAAGTACCTCGTAAGTGTGCGTGGTAAAAACCACTCTGCACTACCTGAATGCATTGGCGGCATAGTAGGAATGTCGTAGAGCGGTGGGGTAGTGGGGATCAGTTGAAAAGTCATCTTGTTCGTTGTGCACTGCCCGCATTTCGCATCAGTGCACAGACGTGCTATCAGGTGTTTGTATAGCTCTATAACTATAGACCTTCGCTCTGCCACAGTCCTGTGACACACGCCTGTGACAGAGAGAAGGGCTATAGTTCTAGAACTAGGGTTAGTAATGACCTGGGGCCCGTTGTCAGAAACTTCGTAAAGTTACGATTAATTTTAAGACTAATGTTAATGTTAAGATTAATTTTGTTTCTGACAACGGGCCCCTGGTGATGTGTACGTGTACTTGCGCGCGTCTGTGCGTGTACGGTGGAATAACGCAAGCTTGTGGGGCTTCGCTCGTGTGTTTCGTTGTTGGTCCCCACGCTCACACGACAATTCGGTGCGGGCGCGTGTGCTCGCCGCTATATATTATACTCGTGTTTTTGTGATTTCTGTTGATCTCATCCTATATTGTAGAGAGCTTGTGAATTTCTTGTTGAATGTGAGGGTGGTAACGACGCGCGTGTTTACGCGTGTACTGTGCAGGATGTAGAAGCAGCATTGCTGCGTGCGGCCCATGCAAGGGTGCCGACTAGCTGCTTGCCATCATCGCTACTCTGGTGGTTGAGGTGCCTCGGGTTTGCCTATATACAGCTTCATATCGTGCAGACGGCTCCTCTTCTGTGTATTTTGCCAACTTATTGTTTTTCTTTTCTTTTTCATTTATATATTATAGTGTGTAACTATTTTCTTCATTATGAAATGTTATCCGTGTTATCGTAAAGTTTCGAGGTCGCAGCGGGTGGCTGTGAAGGCAAAGCGCGGGTCTTGCTTTGTTCTGGCGCATTTAACGTTCTGCGGTCCGTTGTCCCGAAACTTCTTAAGGCCTCCTGCACACGGTGCGCATTCGGCGCTGAGCTAACACGCGCGCCATTTGCGCATGCAAACCAGCCCGCACACGGTGCGCATTTGGCGCGTGCCAACGGCTCAAACACGATAGATATTTTGCGCACGCATTCGGCGCAGCGCCGTTTGCGCACCGTGTGCGGGGGCCTTTACTTTACTTTTCTCAAAGAATCTTTGACCTACTTTGATAGCTGAATAGTACACACTAAACCTATACTGATAATAATGATTAAATCAAACCCAGCATTTGCACTTTTAACTGATAACTCAAGTACCGCATTTAGTATTGACTAGTAGAAGAAGAGCAAACTGGTAGGTTATTTACTATACTGCTTACAGTGTTACTGTAGTTTGATAACGTACTAATATGTCATATGGTTCCTCTCCCACTTTCTGGTTCTATCAAAATGGTTTAGCGAGTTACCATTTACTCTTGAGTTATATAATAGTTAGTTGTAAAATGTGAAACCCTGCACGCCATCACGTAGGCACGATTTTATAAATGCCTGTAATAATAAAACACGAAGGTTAGACAAGCCGTGTGTTTGCTTAGAATGTTATTACGTAGTTCGGGTGTATGAACTAGTTTCGCAGATTCTGCTTGTCTTGCTATTAGTTTATGATGTCATACTGCTTTTTAAATATGAGACTGCATAGTGCGAAATTAATATCTGTGTAATCAAACAGCTGGCAAGATGCAGTATAAGTGAAAGGAACCTGAGCCAAGTGCTGGTAAAAGTTATAAGCAGTAAAACACTAGACAAAGGGAAATACTTAAGCATGGCAAGCTCTACTCATCTGTTACAGCCACCTTCGCTGGACCTGACAGGAAACAGCCAAACACTGCAAAAGTTTTAAGCAGCACTTTTCAATATTATACCACACTGCAACTGGATTGTGTGGAAAAGAAAACGCAACACTATTGCATAAGCTGGGTTTACACTATCAAAAGGTCGACGAGTTGATCAATGCTCTATCAACCTTTCTATCAGTTGCTCAAAGTTCACCGCTTACACTACCCATAGCACTACCGACCGCGAGTTGGCAAACGTTTCAACATTTCACCCGCAGTGAGCGCGCGTGGCGACGTGGATACATAATTTCGCGCCAGGTGTCGGCGGCGCCGATAGCAAAAACGCGCGTAGAAATTATTTCCCCGTGGGTGGAGGGACACACCTCCTGATTGCTGTTATTAGAGTGGCTGCATGGCAAAAAGTTGAGAAACTTGCTGACAACCAGTTAAGAAAATAGAACATGTACTAATCTCTCAAACTAGTCTATATCAACTAGTTAAAAAGTTTATCAACTCGTGAACTTTTTAACAGAAAGTTGATAGTGTAAACCCAGCTGTAGAAAGGTTGATAGAATGTTGGAAAGTCGATCAACTCGTCAACTTTTCGCTAAGTGTTTCGAAACCCAGCTGTACGCAGATAATGGGGTTACAGCTTGCTAGTCCGACGGCCCAATAGTCCGAAAGCCGACTAGTCCGAAAGGCTCACCTATCGAAAGCCCACTAGTCGCGAAAAAACACGCACTAGTCCGAAAACCCACAAGGGGATGGGTACCGATCTATACTCTTAATGTTTAAATTAATTAATTAATTAATTAGTTTTATTTTTTATTTTTTTTTTATTTTATTCCATTTAAATTTTTATTTTTGTTGTTTAGATTTTTATGTTAATTTTTTTTTAAATAATTATTTTTAATTATTTTTTTTTAGGGATGTAGGGGGGTGTGTGTGAGGGGGCTAAGTGTGCGATGTGTGCAATGGCTGCAAGCCTAGCGCAACGTTGACCGACCTTTTGGTTGCTCGTCTTCTGCAGCCTGCAACCGCATGCGATCGCTCGCCACGCATTCGCGTGTGTAATGCATTTCGAAGCAATTTCGACTCGATTTCTGGAATCGCGCAGCCGAGTTGGTACCTTCTTTTTGTCAGGCATAATCGTATATTCACGAGAGGTTACTTAGATATATATAATTTAGCATAAATGATATATAATATATATATACTTATAACATATATAATATTAGATGAGAATATATATCTATATTTACAGTCCTGATATTTTTGCCAGTATTCGTGCGTGCGTGCGTGCGTGGGTGTGTGTGTGTGTGGCGGGCTGCTGTCGTGCGTGTGCGTAGTGCGTGTTGGCGTGTGGCGTGTGCGTGTGTTTTGCAGTATATACCGTATTTACTCCTGTATAACGCCTCTTTTGTACACATATTCCATAAAAAAATCACGGGGGTGCGACTTATAGACGAAGCTAAGAAATCATTGTTAATGTCCAATATGTTTGTACAACTTTTCAAGGCAAAATATGGGGTGCGACTTATACATGAATAAATACGTACACACGAGTAAATACCCAGTAGCATGTTAAAGATCGCTAATGAAGTCACACGTATGTTTTGCGTGCCGGCACGCTCACATTGTATATATATATCCATTTCGGTTGCAGTTTTTCCTCAATCCAGGGAAATAGTTTTTGGCTCTCATTCTCAACCACGCGATGCCTACCCTACATATCAGTAATGACACCATGCCCACAATACCGACTTATAAACTTAAAATTAATGTTTAAAAGATTTTTAATGTTTAAATTAATGTTTTAAATTATTAAACATAAAAATTAATTAATTAAATAATTAAACATTAGAACCATAGATCGGGCACCCCATCCCCTGTGGGTTTTCGGACTAGTGGGCTTTCGGACTAGTGGGTCCATTAAAATTAAAATTAAAATTAAAAAAAATAAAAATTAAAAATTAAAATTAAAATTAAGAAATTAAATTAATTAAAAAATAAATAATTATTAAATTAATTAAACATAGGACCATAGATCGGCACCCCCCATCCCTCTAGTTTTCGGGACTAAGTCGGGCTTTCGACTAGTGGGGCCATTAAAATTAAATTTAAATAAAAAATAAATAAAAAAATAAATTTTAATTGAAAAATAAAATTTAATTAAAAATTAAAAATTAAATTAAAAATTAATTAATTAATTTAAAAATAAATAATTAATTAACTAATTAAACATTAAGGCAACTATATGATCGATACCACTCCCCTGTGGTGTTTCGGATAAGTGAGGCTTTTTTGACTATCGGCCGCGTTCGGACTAGGCGAGCAGTCACGCAGATAATGGTCCTCATGTTCACGTGCTATAGTTGTTAGTTTTAAAAACTGTTAAAGCATGAGCGTTCAGATAATGTTAATGTAAAGTTACAAGCGCTATTTTAATAATTTTGATCGTTATCAGCAAAGACCAGATTCTGTTTTATTTTAAAAAAGAAGACTGTGTTTTTGACTTTATTATGTCATCGGAAAATGAACGTGCTCCCGGTACATGAGGACATCCTCGGCTGCGACCCATAGTGTAAGCCGGCATATGGCCGTGATCGTATAGTGGTTAGTACCGTTGCTGTTTGTGGCCGCAATAACCCAGGTCGGTATCCTCGTCAGCGGCAACCACAATGTAGCACAACGTCGATTTGCGCTACCTTTTGCTAAGAGGTTCTGTTAATAAGACTAGAGACAAGTAAAGACAAGACAAGAAAGTAGCGTTCACTAAGTGTTTTTTTACTACATTCATTACGAGCATGAAATCTCAATGTACTACAGGCTTAGCAAGGCCGTTCTTTCATGAGCAACCAGTATCACGCACGTTACACCCTATTTCTCGGTCAGTGTCTTCTACAAGGCCCCGAGGCGCGTCGCGGCTGCCACATATTTTGATATGGCGCGCCTTTCCTTACGTCATCCTCGTCGTTATAGCTCCTTCTCGCGCCAACTGGCACATACCAATACGGGGAATGCAATCCTCACACCTTCTGCCATTACCCATACCGAATGATATGGAATATGTGTGTTTTCGCACTTGGCTTCGCACTTGGCCGGTATTCCATGGCCCATTTCCTGCTCCTGATGTCATTAAGCGTCAATTGCGCCAGCGTCTAGGTTTCACAACGGCGAAATCATCGGGAAACCTTAGACGCTGCGTTCGACCCATTTCCTTATTTTCCGCAGCGTGCCCAACTGGCCCGCGTAGTGGTCCACCCGCAGCAATGTTGTGAACACATCCCTCGACCCTCGATGCGGCGCTCAAGAATTGCATTTCCCGCCTGAACCATCGCTTCGATGGCAATAGTGGAATCTGCCCGCCCTTACATAAATTATATACAAACACATAGTATTTGGTGTATATCCCATGGTGCGAGCTGCTTAATTGGCTTTAATTTTCTGCGTAAATTCGAACAAGAATCTGATGTATAAATCAATAGAAAAACTACTCATTGCGGAACGAAACCTGTCGGAAAATGTTGGAATTTATAATTGCTGTGTGCTTTGGTGTATATCGTTTTGTCAACCACAACTTTGGCTTCAGGCGGTTATGATTATATCGGACAAAATAAGCGTGTAGTTTGGTCTGTCACACGGTCGTAATAACGAGTGATGACAGGTAGTGTGTGTAATATGGTGTGGCCGCCCGTGGATACGCATGTCTTGACAGGCATTCTCACTAATGTTTACGCACACATACGCGGAGGATGTGCGCGCTAAGAGCGCGTGGGCGTGCGTGTGTGTGCGTCCAGTGCATGACATGCCAAAATCACTTCAGGTGTTTCACCGAGATCACTGCATGGTCGGCTGGCGGAACACACCTCCCGCACGCTTGGCGTCATGCGTGTACCGGATGTTATCTCTACGAGTAGCGTAGAATACACTGAGCTGCCCATCATATGGCCGAATGTAGTCCGGTTAACTTGTGGCTGCCAATTCGAGAATGCAATTTCCAATCGATTCTACGGTGTGTGTGTGTGTGTGTGTGTGTGGTGTTGCTGGTGTAAGATTAACTGCTGTTTTTAATGTTTCTAGATGCCCAGTGCAAGGACCATTCGCTAATACTAGCGTCATAACGTCATAAGCGTCACACGGTCGTAAACGGAGTGATGACAGCGTAGTTGTTGTCTGTAATATGTGTGGGCCGTGATAACGTAGCATCTGTGCAGGCCATTCTCACTAATGTTGCTCACACATACACGCTGAGGTATGCGCCAGACGGCCAGTGGCGTGCGTGTGTGTTCCTCATCGTGGATATGCATGACATGCCGCACGAGGCGGAAATGGAAGACGAGAATAGGTGTATATCCCGATGGCGGGACATAGCCTCCCAGGAAAAACGGTACGTGCTGCGCTATTTTTTCGGTCCTTTAATAGACAATTACCTAGTAACGGAGAATCAAGAATGAGAAGTTAACGAAATCAGTGTGTTCATATTAAAATATTTTTTATGAAGGGTCAAGGAGTAGTTATATAAAATTAATTATTAACAAAGTTTCTCTGTTTGCGAATGGTAACCATACTGCTCAATTTTCGAAGAGGTGATTTCGAAAAAAAACATTTTTTATGTCAAAGCCTTAATTTTTATAGAAAAAACTGATTTTTCTCGAATAATGGATATTTATATATAATCAAGTATTATTAGCTATCTGTATACTATGTATGTACTCTTTTTCCCCTAGGGAGTTGTGCTGTGCCCCCGGGACACAGCAAGAATAACGGAGATAACGAGAGAAGAGAGAGAGATTGAAAGAGAGAGAGAGAGATGATTGAGAAGAGAGAGAGAGAGAGAGAGAGAGGGGGGGGGGGGGGGGGGGGGGGGGGGGGTAGTTCGAGAGAGAAGAGAAAGAGAGAGAGATGATAGAGAGAGAGAGAGAGAGATGGAGAAGACGAGACAGGAGAGAGAGAAGAGAGAGATGAGAGAGATAGAGAGGAAGAGAGAGAGAGAGAGAGAGAGAAGGGAGAAGGGGGCAGTGAGAGAGAGAGAGAGAGAGAGAGAGAGAGAGAGAGAAGGAGAGAGAGAGGGGCGCAAATGTCGTGATGAGAAGCAGCAGAGAGAGAGAAGAGAAGGAAAGAAGAGAGCAAGAGAGAGAGTAAGCAGAGAGGAAGAGAGAGAACAGAGAGAGCAGAGAGAGAGAGGGTGGGCCAATGAGGTAAAAAAAAGCGGATGATCTTTATGTTTCGCGAATCAATCACGCGCTTGATGGACGCTAAAAAAATTGACCTCAGGTTGTTTACCGATGTTCACTATGCTGGTTTGCTGGGGACACACACCCTCCCGAAGGCTTGGCTCATGCGTGTGGCCGATGTATCTCTACGAGTTAGCGAGTAGAGTAACTGAGGCTGCCCATATAATGGCGAATGTAGTCGGTTAACTGTGGCTGCCAATCGAAGATGATTTCCAATCGTTCTACCGTGTGTGTGTGGGGGGGGGGGGGTGTAAGATCACTGCCAGTTTTAATGTTCACAGACACCGACACAGAAAATTGTCCCATCCCCTCGGATATACGTCATAGTTAGTAGTTATATCCGGCTATAACCTATATAACACGCCAGCATTGTGAATTCAGCATCGAATGACATGTGAGATGTGTTCTCTACGAGTGAATATTTACAAAAGAATAGCGTTACGCTGTGTACCATACTATCTTCCGAGGAGAAGAAAGTATACAAGGAATCTTTTTTATGCGTATCGAACTACTGGGACTGTAACCTGAATTTGGTTATCGACAATCTGTGACACTGTGTTAGAGACCTTGACTGTTAGGAGTCTATAGACCATAGTAGGACCATAATAGGACCATAGGAGTCTATAAAGCAAAATAGGAGATGGAGACATGGATCCAAGGTATATTGCTAGGGAATTTGGGAATGAGAGGGAGATGGTACAGGAGGTGAGAGAGAGTGTGTGGGGGCGAGGGGAGGAAGAAGACGGGGAGGAGGAGCATTGAGAGGTGGGGAGAGAGGAGAAAAGAAATCGAGGTGGAGGTTCTCCATAGGTTGGTGTCATTGGGAGTAATAGAAGTGTAATGGGAATAGTGCAAGTATGATGTGGAGTCATGATGCTTGTGCAGTTTATAATGTCGTCATCGATCAACTGCGCATGTGCGCGTGCACGCTTGGGTGAGCATAAAAGCGAGAGAGAGGGAGAGAGCGAGATATGGAGAAAATGGGAGAAAGAGGGGACAGCAATGGGGAAAGGAAGCGCCGGATGTAACTTGAGAAAAAGAGAAGGAAAGCGGGGTGGGGCAACTCGGGAGATAGATAGTGAGCGAGCGATATACGATATACGTATCATTTTCAGCGAGAACATTCCATGCGATAAACTGTGCGTGAGGTACCGCTGCTAACGTCTAACTAACTTGATTCATAATTGAAAGTGTCTCTGTATTTGTTTCATACTGACATTCCGTTTATTCCTTCCGTGAAAACTGTAACAAACAGGAAAGTCAGGATAATAAATTACCCTGTACATGTCGCGATACAATACACTGGCAAATCATTATTTAAGAATAACTGATAACGTTACGTAAACTGTTTCGTACACAGAAAATACACAGAAAATACGCAAGCTCAAATTCTGCTTATAAATAATCGCGCACTGTGCTGCACTGTAAAGCCTGACCTTGAGTGGCTTTGTATAAACTATTCGCGCAAGCGGCTGTAGTCTAGCTACCGCAGCTAATTCACCAAACTTAACGACTATCCGTATCTTGCTAATTAAGTGACACTAAATACTATATGAAATTAACCACTGCAAATGAAGAATGTAACGTTTATACATTGAACTCAATGCTAGCATATTGAACGTTACATATTGAACATAACATAATACATATGAATACTAACGTTTACGTATTAAACTCCGTTCCTACGAATATGTATGAGTTACATGCTTTACTAACCTTTTTGCCTCTATAATGAAGT